GTGACCTGAGCTGAAGTCGGACGCTCAACCGACTGCGCCACCCAGGCGCCCCCTTTGTTGGTTTATCAAGATGAAAACCCACTGAATTATTTTAAGGTGCCTACTGTATATATTTGTGTTCCGTTGTGGAAGAAGGAGCACTCAATGGGCAATCAGGAGACAGGATTGGAATCCTGGCCCTTCTCTGCTGTAGTTCAGGACTAAGCTCATCTGAGCCCTAAGCTTCTGTTTCCTCACCTGGAAATGGGGGCTGTAGGGATCAACAATTTTTCCTCAGAGGGTAGTCATTAGGACCAAGTGATAATCTGAATATAACAGCACTAGCACAGTGCCTGGCCCACAGCGAGGGCTCAGTAAATGACAGCTAAACAGCAGTGTAATGGGGTTCTGTGTGCCACACATGAGATTTGGAGGCAGATTCGATGGTGAGTTTAGGTGAAGAAATTGGACATGTCTGTGTTCACATAGAGCATGATTCATGTCTACTCTGCTGTTGCTGCTGCTGCTTTCCTGTAACCAATTTTAGAGCCTATCTTGGCAGCTGGAAGTATTTGGGATTAATTTCACACTCACTTTATGAGTTGAGCATTTTCCTGCAAGCAGCTCCCTGGGCCTCTGCCTCATTACTTTGGCATCAACTGATATGGCAGTTGGACATAGATGTCCTTTGGGGTCTCCATTTTATTTGGAAACCTTCAATTTGAAAAAGCAAAACAGAGACTATCAACACATTTGTGCCTGAAATCGTTAGCATTTATTGTTTCCTAAACCCCTCCCTTTCTATAGTTCTGTTGAACACCAGAGAACACACATCTTGCACAGCCAGTGATAAGCACTAAAAAGTCACACTCCTTCAGATTCAAATCCTAGCAGCTGGTTGGCCTCATTTCACATTTCCAGGTGAGCAGCAAGATCCTCTAGGCCTTGGTGGGACAGATCTAAATCTTGATGGGTCTAGTTTTTCCAGCCTTTTTTACTATGTTAATTCTGCTAAATTCATTTGGCTCTCATGGAGAACAAAGTAAACTTGGCTGTTACGTGTAAAACTAAATTGAGAACATGGAGATCTGTTTAGTATTTCATGCTGGCCAGTAGGTCAGGAAGATTTTCCTTGGGGGTAATTTACATAAGGAATTGTTTATCCCATTTCTTTCCAATTTCTGTGACCATTTGGGTATAGCAGACTTTCCACAATGGCACAGAAATATAACCAGCGAGACCGAAACTTAGAGAAATGAAGCTTCTCCCGGATTGATGTATTTTGGGCCTTGCCTAGGAAAGATCCTGTGGCTTGGGCTGCTGTCTCACTGAGAAGTCATTCTTCTACCACAGCTGTGTTTAGCAAGTTGGGTGGGTCCACGAACTGACATGCTGTTACACTTAGTAAGAATTTTCCCTTGATAGTGAGGAACGTGCATAAAAGCCTCACTTAAGTCCCAGCAAATGCCCAAATGTTTACTGTGACCGATAGCTGCTTTGAGTGCAGCTTCCATCAGGTGACAGCCCCAAGTCAGAGTACTCCGTGGCCACCCAGTACCTATAGTGTTACATGCACGCTCTCCACCTTGACATTCTGCTTCCTCTTCAGCAGTTGCCCAGATGACCTTTTTTTGTCTCATCAAATGCTTTTCCCAAACTGGAATATTTGTTCCTTCCTGAACAAGCAGCCTCTACTTTTCTGCTTTAATGAATTTGCTCAAGTTGTTTCCTATACTTTTAAAGCCCCCTCACCCAATATCTGTTCTTGAGGATGAATTTCAGGTACCTCTTCTCAGTGGCACACTAGTAAATATTTGACAACTGGTTCTCTGGGAAGGTGGGAGTTTGGGAGGAGACCTGGCTCTGTAACATTTGTTGATGTTCATGTGGTAAATACTTCCACCATGGCTGATTTCAAGCTACCAACGTGAGGTCACTGAAGGTGAAGTTGGGAAGAAATGGGCAGTAGCCCACCATTGCAGAGTGTTTCCAACGTACAGATACGGTAGGCATAAGTGACCTCAAGGGCCTAGATAATAGTGAACTAATTAAGAAGTAATGAGTTTTGAGTATTTATCACCTTTGTTTTGGTGTAATTTCTTTAAGTTTATGTAACTTAAGTTTTAAGTAATGGTCGTGTTTAACAGCTGGCACACAAAATTGAAAACAGGACAACCTGTCCTTTCTCTGGAGCCTGTAGGAGCTGGCCAAGTTGCTTCTTCCTCCACCTTTTCCTTTGTAAAGTGCTCCAGACTCAGTAATAGTTAAACCTTTCTCTGAACCTGGCAGGTGCTTCAGGTTGCACGCAGGCTTTGGATTGAGAGACTCCAAAGTGCAACTCCTGGTCTCTCACTTGCTACGTGATGGTCAAGCTGCCCACTTAATTTGCACTTCCCAGTGCAAAATGAAAATGCAGGGCCCTTGTTAAAAGTCAGGAAGAAAGTGCTGTTAAAATAGCCACTAAAATCTAAAGCCTTTTCCTTTCTTCAGCAGTCTCTCTTTCACACTTTCTCATGGTGTTTTTATTTTCTATTTAATGTCATTCCAAGTATAGAAAAATTAAGATTATTTGCATGAATGTTACCATCAATCCTTATATTGTTCAATGCCAGTTTTAAATGCAAATATAAGAGCATTTAACCATGAGTTAATGAACGTATCTCCCCTGCTCTTGTGTATGTTCTGTTGCCCCATCATTGACTTCACGTATAAAACACAACTTCAAAAATAAAATTATTAAGAATTTAAAGACAGAGGCAGCAGGGCATTAAACCAAGCATGGAGCCGTTCGAAGCACAGGCACAGTTTACATCCCTGTGCACAGTACGGGGCAAATTTCTTACATCCGCTGAGCCTCAGAGGCCTCATCTGTAAAATAGAGATATGCCAACCAGGTGGAGGTGTGGGGATTGAAGACACTGGTACCTGTATGGCACAGCAGAATGTTTGGCATGCAGTCTGTGCTCACTTAATTACAGGGATTATTATTAACCTACTAATCATAATATTAATGGCATTTTTCCTTTACAGTTCATAGGGTCTTCCCTACAGTGTCGCCACTTGCCTCTGACGTATTTTCCTTTTTCCATTATTAACTCTCTGAAGGTAGAGATGAAATCTGTCACCATTGAATTCCCTAGAGTGGTTTCTGCAACTTCTTGCATATACCTGGCACTCAGGAGGTGTTTATAACCTTGATCTTTGTATGATTTGGGCTTATTGACAATACGCATCTGTGTCATAATATGATGGTTCCCACAATGAGGCTTAATTGGTAACACTCACAGGAAAAAAAGAATATAAATGTAGACTTTAACAGGAGTCAGTTGTAATCATGGTGAAGCTGGGGGAAGAAGCAGATGATTCCAGGTGTTTTGGTTTATGGAAAGTGTGGCCTCTGTCTCTTAGAGGAGACTTCTTGAAGTAATAGGGAAGGGATGAGTTCCAAGCCTCATTTGAGTAAAAGAGGCCCCAGGGATATTAACTCTGGCCCATAGTAATCTGTCCCTTTGCGAACTTCTTTTACACTTATTTTCTGTTCTGCACAATTAGGACATTATTACAGTAATGTTTCTTTCCACTAATTGGTTGGATATTTATGTTTCCTGTCCAAAAAATTATAAGATCCTTATGGGCTAGAAGATATCATGTACTGTTTTGAACACCTATGGAAAGAAAGTAGCACAGTACTAGGTATGTAGTAAGCAATGCACTTTATTACAATGCTGACCTTGGTCCAAACTCCCAGGGTTCCCTGGAGAGCTGAATGGGAGTTGTGATTGTCTTTTATAACTCTTGCAGGCCCTCAACCAAATGCCAGAGTATCATGGTCTGCCTGGCATTGTCAGGCAAACACCTTGCCTTGACAGCTTTATCTTTTCCTAACCTACATCTCTTTTCCAGTGTCTCCCAGACACTCTGAGGACTGTCCCTCAACAGCCCCCATTGCTACGTGGAATTTGGGAGACCACACAGCTGTAAACTCTTACTTGTTTGAATGATGATTTTTTAACAAGCCCTTTGGGCCAGTTTCAATAAGCCATGAAATATCACCAAATGGCTCATCTGCACTAGAGTTCTGAAAGTCATCTGAGCTCTAGTCCCTCAAGCTGGCAGGGACTGACAGAAAGGAGTACACATTGCCCTAGCTTTTCCTATTCCTGTTCTGGGGGCTGTAAGACGCCTTGAGCCTCTGGGCCAGTCAGTTCATTACTTTTAATGAGCACAAAATTCACCGAGACATTAAAATAAAACACCAATGGGCAGTCTTGGATGTTCTATTCAATTGTTGCTTTAGTTCTTTTTTCCACAAGATTATTCAAGAGGATGAAAAAAAAAAAAGCCAATTCTACTCCTGCCAGTTTTATCCTAAGTAGATTTGGCATTGTAAAGCTAACACACCCTGAACTTTTTTTTTCTTTCAGATCCCTGTGGGCTAGTGCCTGACATTTGTGTTCAAAATGACATTACTCAATTGGTCAAATGTTTGAACATTTTCTACCTTTTGGATATAATAAAGAAATACTGGATATCTCAACACCATGTAGCATATCAAGAGTAATAATCAGAGGCAGATAATTACTTTCTGAAAAGGATGTAATGAAATCATTATTTTAAATTACGCGGCAAACGTGGTTTATTTTGATATTTTTAATTGATCCATCTCTAGCTAGTAATAAAGACTATAACAACTGTATTAGAGATTACTTATATTATCATATATTGTAGAAGGTCAATTGATGGTGAACCAGACACAGAACAATGTCCCCATTAAGCTGATTTCATGGATATTTTCATCCCCTGGCCATATGGATTTGGAATTACATCAGGGATTTTTTTTTTTTTAAAGAAGGAAGTGAGCAGATGAATGATAACTATTTTATTACTCAACATAGCTTGTGTTTGTGGAAGACAAAGTGCATCAAGCTGTTTTAAAGAAAAACACAAGTGTGCCAAATGTAATTTGTTGAGGGCTCAAGCATTGTGAAATTATCCCTAACTGAAGTTTGTCATTTCTGCAGGTAATCGCTCTCGCAGATGCAGTAGAGGAAAACCAAGACAGTCTGTTCCAGTCATTCACCAGGCTGAAAAGTGCCACCCATTTGGTGATTCTGCTGATTGGGCTGTGGCAGAAGCTTAGTACCGACCAGATCGCTATTCTGGAAGCAGCATTTCTGCCCCTGCAGCAGGACACCCAGGAATTGGTAAGGACCCACGACTCTGCAATGGTAACAGCCATTATTGAAAAGATTGTGGTTTTAAGAAGATATCACATGGCTGTTGTATTTTCTAAGGTACCTGATGGAGGCTTTTTTTTTTTTTTTAAACCCAGATCCTGTTTTCCTTTTCTTTAAATCATAATAAAAATGTCAAATGAAGGCCTTTTTTTTCTAGAGCTATTTTAAAAATAGGTATAGAGTCCATTTTTATGTGGTATTCAGTCTATTTTTTATGTGCTCTTCAATCACTTAGAAGCCAGGGAAACAGTCATTTGACTGCCTGAGTGATGGCAGTAAACCTTCAGATTAGCTAATCCTTTCCTTTTCCACCAGAGAAAACAGTTCAGCCATTTTAATTTGCTCAGTGTTCTTAAATTTAAGTGTCAGTTCAAGGGTTAGGGAGAACTGAGATAGCCTTGCCAAATGACAGGAATATTTTGTCACATTTATATAGTTCTTAATACATAGTGTATAAACTTTTTTACTCTTGACCCTTTCAATAGGCAGTTTAGAACCAAAGTGGGGGGGAAGATGAGGGTTCATATTTAGAGTTTTTGTTGAAAGATTATATGAATAAAACCATCTCAGACCCCTCAAATTGTAGAGGTTTGTATGACTACCAGGTGTCATCATGAGGGAACTTTTTGCATGCTTTTATTTACAAAGAAATAATATACTTCTTGGAAATTAGAGACTCTTGGACTCATTTTTTTGTATTGGAAGAAACCGTTTCATGAAAAAAGCCATTTCAAACATAGCCATGAGAACATAGGGCTAAAAATGATAGTACTAAAACTAACATTTCTGAGTACTTACTAAATAGGCACGAAGTGATATTTTAAGTGTTCCACAAGGATGGTCTCATTTAATCTTAAACATGGCCTAGAAGGTTGTTAAGGTACTATTTTCACCTCCATTTAACATATGAGAAAATTTAGGCTTTGAGAGTTAAGTACCTTTTGGAAACTAGTGGATATAGAGCCATGGTTTGGGCCCAGGTCTGGCTGCTTTCAAAGCACATGTTTGTTTTTTTGTTTTTTGTTTTTTATCAATACACTGTATTTTAGCAAACAAAGTCATGAACAAGATTTTGAAAATCACAGGCTTTGTCTGTTCAATGTAATTTTCTATAATTGGGTCAAAGTATTGTCAGATGAAAAAAAAATTCAAGCTGTATTTTATATCATAAACAAAATACTAATAAATAAATTGGGAAACAATTTAGAGTATACCTTTTTTTTAGATTCATAAAATGAAATTACTGCTAAAATTGATCTTTGAGAAGCCAGAAATGTGGACATTGTAATAACAGAGAACAAAGAATACAATTTGGGTTGTATTAGTGAGAATGATAACTGTGAACTCAGATTTAAGTAGTCAGAAAGACTTTGGTGGCCTCAGTTCCTGGTTCCACCACTCGATGATAAAGTCCTTCTGATCAGGTTTTCTTGCTGTTCTAAATCTCTACTTCTGTATTTCTAAGGTAGAAACAATAATAGGACCTACCCAAGTTGAATAAGAATTAAATGAGATAATGGAATAGAGTGGAATTATATCTTACTCATTTTTATATTCTCAGCCTCTGGCACAGTTCCTGACCATAGCACAGTCAATATTTGTTGGGTGAATGACTAGAGAAAGGGTGAAAGCTAATAAGAAGTGACTTGGCAGAACAGATGTAGTAGATATAATCTGGAGCATGAGGAAGCAGGGCAGGGCCAGCTGTATAATTTACAGGACCCAGAGCAAAGTGAAAATGTGGATCCCTTGTTCAAAAAAGTAGATAAATAACCAAAATGTTGTTAAAACAGATTCTAAAACAAAGCTTTTTACTTTCTGTGTCTCATCATGATGTTTTTATTTGCTATTTTATGCTATTCTAAATGAAGAAAAATAAAAAATTTAAGTTGTCAGCAGGAATTTTACCATGAATCTTTATAATGTGCAGTGCCAGCTTTAACACAAATATAAGAGCATTGGACCTATATGCAGAATCGCCAAAATTATATAATTTGTATTTTGTAGCTCATGCATGCATATGTATTTTGTTCTTACAGAGCTGTGAATCACTGCACAAAATTAACTGCTTTTCCTTCCCTTCTTGATATGCACACATCTACCAACACTTTCCACCTTCAGCTTACTGATGAGTAGGGAAGGAAAGAAAAAAGAGCTCTGTGTTACTCTATTTCCCTTTCCTTCTGTTACCATTTTCAGTGTAAGTAGTCGGATAATACAGGGAAGTAACAGGGGTGTAATGGACTTCCTTAGTCATTCCTGTTTCTTTGAATCTATTTGCTGACTTTCTTCATTCAAAACAAGTTTTGGTGCAATGAAACGCCTTAAAGGCTGTCAGTGCCCCCACTTAATCAGTCTAGACATGCCCTCCTTGTATTTGTTTTGAGTCTCCCTGTCTCCCACTCATTCTGGGGCCATAGAATTCTAAGGTTATGGGGCAGAAAGGTAGAAGGAATGCGTACCGCGCATGTCTTCCCTTCTTACACACAATTCACTGTTCCAGCAGACATCACTTACAGAAGACAAGTGCAAGATAACATTAAGAATTTCAGGGGCGCCTGGGTAGCTCAGTTGTTAAGCATCTGACTTCGGCATAGGTCATGATCTCATGTTTCAGGCCATGATCTCACAGTTCGTGAGTTTAAGTCCCACATCAGGTGAGCTCAAGCCCTTCTTTGGGTGAACACGAGCCCCGCTTCGGGCTAACACAAGCCCTGCTTCTCTCTCTCTCTATCTCTCTCTCTCCCCCCCTCCTTCCCTCCCTTTGCCTCTCCTGGGATTCTCTTTCTCTCTCTGCCTGTTGCTCACTAGCACTCTCTCTCTCTCTCTCTCAAAAAAAAAAAAAAAAAAAAAAAAACAACAACGAATTTCAAGGTGGCAATGGTAAAACATTAAATCAAGCGTGGGGCCCTTCTGAACGCGGGGCCCTGTGTGACCACATGGCTCACATGCTCCTGAAGGTGGCCATGAAGTGTGGTTAGACCCAGAGGAAGAATTTCCTTGAAATAAAGGTTCTCAAATGTAGGGACTGAGTCCCCAGAGAGACTGTGGAATTTCTGACTCTAGAGATCTTTCAAAACAGCCTCCTTCTGCTGGGAATAGTGTGTTCATCCCTGTAGGCAGGTGAATGGACTAGGCATCCTGTCAAAGCTTCTTTCTGCCTGCCACTGTGTTCTTTGCTGTCATAACTCCCAAAATATAAAGGGAAAAATTCTTTCAACTTTCTTCTGAATTTGGCGAGATTAGAAGGGGTGTATACTCGTTATGTCTATTGAAGCCATTAATAAGACAGGACATTTGATAAAAACATAACTTGGAAAAGAATGAATCCAAAAAGACATTTTAATACTGCTTGTTATGCTCTTCATCTTTAATTAGGTTGTGGTATTCACTTTGGACTTATACTGTTGAGACAGCTTATATATCTTGAGAAAAAAGGAATCCTTTTTCATTCTTTAAGACGTACGCATGCAGTATGTGGTTTTGACATGCTAGTTCACAATCCCCCACATTATGCCTTTGGACCTCACAAATAAATGTTATGTGATGGGTGTCCCACTGAGATGTGAAAATGAAATATGCAAACCTGAAATAACTTGGAATGAGGGTAAGACGGGGAAGAAAGGAGTCTCTGACCAGAATGTTGAAAATATATCCCATATTGAAGTTATTATGATACCACAAAAATCTGAATGTAATTTAGACGGTTTGGTTGGAAGTGGATGGCAGAGTACATGTGTGAGGGGGAGAACTTCAGACATGTGGACAACATTTTCAGAAGAGACTCTCAGTTCAAGGTCAGATGTCCCCACAAGTATTGAGAGGTGGAAGAAAGTGCTCAGAAGATGTTTTATTTATGTTGCACATAGCACTGCACAATGGTTTGTTGTATTGTTATTTAGATGGCATGTGTCACAAACGGCAGGCTAAATGCCATAGTTCACTCTGGAATATTTTCTGAACTGGCATCAGGTTTACAAAGCATAAATATTTAGAATTTATTATTCCTAATGAAAAGTGATGTTCTTCACACTATCCTATCAGTATTTTTTTATATGCCATCTCATTTGGATCAGAATTCATCATTGTTTTCTTTGATCTGTTTCTTAAATGCTTTTCTATTTTTGTCACTTCTCATTACTATTTGGGGGCAAATAAATGCTGGTATTGCAGACTATTATGTGTGACTTTTTCAAGGTGTTGGAAGTTACATATGCCAAATGTGTTTTTGTAGGGATACTTCCCTTCACTTTAAGAAAAAGATTAACTGTTCTATTTGGCATCTCCAAAAAGAGCTCTTAAACTCAGTTCCATCAGTGGATTTGATAATATAGTATTGTCCCTACCATCTTCCTGTGATGGAGAAGTTTTGCCCCAAATAATGTGTTCTATCAGTGTACCTGATGCCACAATTCTAAAACTGTTTTCTTTTCAGTTTAGGGGCTGAGGATTTCAGAGTATCTGCAATGCAGAATTTAAACATATATCTACTGACCCTTTATCTACATGAAGTTCTATGGAAAATACTGTCTACTTAGGTCATGAAGGGCTGTGTAATGGTTTGAGTCTGAGGGAGTGTTTAATTGTGATAGCACACCTCTCTCATGATGTTATACAAAAGCCAAAAACTGCAAAACTCCACATACCTCAGGATTGGCTTAAAATCTTTTCATCCGGTCATATTTGCATTCAGTGAATATTTATTAAGTACCTACTATGTTTCAGGCAGTGTTCTAGGTTCTTGGCGTATTTTAATAAACAAAACAGAGTTAGAGCCTATCCTCCGTTGATTTACTTCAACATTGTAAGCAAACATATTCCAGTCACAGTCAGCCATAAACATATTGGCTATCTGATTTAGTAGCCACTTGTCACATGTGGCTATTTAAAGTGAAATTTAAATAAAGTGAAATAAAATTAAAATTTCAGTTCCACGATTTCACTAGCTATATTTCAACTGCTTAGTA